TGTGTGTGTGTGTGTGTGTGTGTGTGTGTGTGTGTGTGTGTGTGTGTCTGTCTTAACTGAGACAAATTGATTGTAAAATACACACAGTATGGATGTGCATATGAACGCAGTTCCTTTCCAGACATCATGAGACAAAAGCAAAATGAGACTAAATAACTGTCCCTGCCAAGGATGGAGAGACATGCAGCTGATGTCAGATAATATATAAAATACACTAATGATAAAAAATAATAACGTGGGATCCAGGACATAATAAGAAGGACTGCATCATCTGAGTTGCAAAAGCAATAACGAGTGCCAAAGAAACCACAAACCTGTTTCAAGGCATCTGCCACATTGCAGGGTGTGTCGGGATTCGGGCGTACATAGTGACCCAGTTTAGTAAAATATGAAACATACAATGGTGCATGCCCATGTGTCAAGAGTATAACATTCATTTAGAGAATCTGGCAGCAGGGTTTTTGACTGTAGCGTGTGGTAAACTGGAGAGACAGAAAGAGGAGCTATTTGTTCAAGAGTGACTCCTTCGCTTTATTTTCTGTGGGACGGTCAAAACAAAACCACAATTTACAAGACACACTGAGTACAGTGTAGTTTATACACGCAAAGTGGACGTAAACGTGAAAGTATTGTATGGAAGCGATCACGCCTAAGTCATTGCCGGTTCCCCTCTAGCTCTGGTTCCCGATTCAAATTGAAATGAATGACCGTTTTACTCTTCTCGCTCACGCACAGAGAGACACATGCAGAGGATCGGCAATCTGCTGCAGGCGTCCATGTTCTTGAACTACATGTGGCAGAAGATGAGAGTGGCCGGAGCACCGTCCAGGTGAGAGATTCACGAAACGAAAGCATTAAAACGGCGCATTGGGGCTGTGGTCATGTTGTTTATTCTACCAGTGATGCAATAAAATGTGATCCAGGAAATTCAGTTGGAGTAACAGATTAATTCGCTCAAAGGCCTTTCAGACGCTCAAACACTGCGCAGCCGTTCATGCAATGAGACGCTGCCTTGCTCCAGAAAGTCTGTCTCCATTTAGAGTCTCTCGCACTTTATTTAACCTCTCAGGTCACAGACAAAAGCTCAGTAACTTTCTCCGCTGAGTACAGCAAAAAGATCAATCAGTCTTAAGTTCAGCACAACTCTGTGACTTCTGCTCATTAACAAAATATTGTCACTATGTGAGTCAAACACGACATGTATGTAGTTGAGCCAGTCGAGGTTTCCAACAAACGCATAACGCTTGTTGTCTTTTCGTGTTCTTTTGTCATGCAAATACGGAAAAGGAAAATGTGGCAGAGCAGCATTCCGAGTTAGACCGGACGTGCTGCCACGTTTTTCCTTTTCTTAATCATGTTTTGACAGTTTTCAAAGCTTCTTTCCCAGTCGAGTGGAAGGTGAAGCCGACACCGAGATACTTTCTGTAAACGATGCAGGGAAATGGAAAAGTTGTGAATGCATGTATTGAGTTTATGACTCTAATCCCTGTCGGTGTATCCTGTCTAGCATGGGCCAAGATGAAGAAGAAATGGATACCACTCCTCTTGCACAGCCTTTCTTTATGGTTGACAAGGAGAAAGGAATGGAAAGCGGTGATGAGGAGAAACAAGACGGCGATGACAGTGATGGCGGACAAGATGAAGATCCAAATTGCCCAGTTAAAGAAAAAGAGGAGGAGGAGGGGGACGATGAGGTCAGTGCCTCAAAGAAAGCCTCCACCAACAACGGGTTAGTAGAAAACGGAGGGAGCCCCAAATCAAATGGCAACCACCACTCAGAAAGTGAGGAGAGCTCAGAAGAGGAAGACCTGGAAGATCAAACCACAGCAAAAGTGATGAAATGTCTCCCAGTGTCCTCCACTGTACAATGCCAGACTTTCTCCAGCTGACGGGGATCTCCGGCCCGTTAACGGATGACTCTCGCTCCCGAAAGGGGGGGGTCGTCTTATCTCGGACCACTCAGTGGACTGACACACTGAATGTGTGGCAGTTTAGGGAGAGAGAGAGACCGGTGTGGAGCGATGACGATGAAACCGACAATAGATGTGCATCCCCCGTCTCAGCAGCTCGTGAAGATGTTCTGTCTTGTGCCAGTAAAGATTGTGCACGAGTTATTTTTCATTTGGAGTTTAAGCAGAATAAAAGTAAATAAATGTAACCAGCCTGATTTCCTCAAACAAAGTGGATATTAGGAAAGAAAAGAGGAGAGACTGAAGGAAGACTGAGTTGCATAAACATTCAGGCATTGAGCCATGGTCCCCTTCCCCCACTGCAGATACCAGCAGCACCCTTTGTCTCGCCCTGATCTACCGGTTCGACCACAGCACACAAGGTTCCTTTCATAACCACAATTAGTTTTTTTATTCCATAACTACAAATGTTTATATAATAAATAAAATCTGTTCTTTGTGATTTAACAAGAGTTTCATTTTTTTCCAAATGCACCATATTATTTAAGAGTGTTCAAGCAGTCAGTTGCATGCAACGTGACTTCCTTGTAACTTAGTTGCTTAGTGGAAACAAGGTGATAATCTTCTTCTGTAAAACTTGGTTGGGGAACGTAACGAAGACATTTCTGTGCACCAATCCAACAAACAGTTGCACTAAATGATGAGTCGATGACAGACTTTATGGCCCATTATCCAAAACTTTACTGAGAGATCTGACTGGAGTCACATTTCAAACCACCTCCAAATGTAGTTTGATTCCAATTTGCAAAAATCCCATTTCATGCATCTAAAGATCAATCTAGATACAATCTGCTTATGCAAAAGAAATTACAAATGTTTTTGAGTTTGCAGTGTGAAGAAGTTTGGATAATGTATATAAAGATTATTATAAGACAAACTGACAATTTCCTTCTGGTTTTAGCCATTCATCTGCTCTTAGCTGAACACTAGTGTCGAGGTGAAACAGTTAATCTATTTGACAATGAAATTTCCAAGTCCCAGCTCCTCACTTGTGTAGCGACTGAAAATAATGAATACAAATTGAAATCAAAGACAATTGAAGATGAAATCAAGTTATCCAAAAAAAAGTTTTATTTGTTCCAAGCTCTTCAGTAACACGTGAACACACACACAGAATATACACGGTCAGACTGCTGAGTGTATATTTACACACATCCCATTCGTCAAGTTGAGTTTGCTTTTAACAGGCTTGAGCAGGAAATAGAACTACCTGCACTCTGGTATTTCAAACAAACATTTACTTTTGCATGAAAACAAATCAATCAAGTACAGTCAAAAATGCATATAAGGCACAACACAAGGATTCCAGTATGGAAAATAAATGTTCATTCATGAGTGTTTAATGTTTCCTTATTAATCTTGTTTATATACAAACACACACACACACACTCATATTAACTGGTTTTGCTAAAGGCCAATATAGATATAGCTTCTGGTGCAACGCCTCTTAATTCTTAGATAAAGTACCTTGATAATAAAGATGAAGCTACCCATCAGTATAAACTTCAGAGACTCATTATCTCTATTTGAGTGGGTGACAGGCTGCCTTTGGTTGCGTTCTTGCGGGTGATGGTGGTACACCGGGTGAGGATATCCTGGGCCCGTGGCCTGGGTGGCACCTTAGGTGTTATCGGGCCCTTGTAGAGGTTGGGATCAGAGATGCTGGGCATCATTCTCCCCTCCGGGATGCTCGTCGGGCTCAGGTGGTTGCTCGCCATAGGGGAAGGCGTACGGCTGAGACGCAGCTGTTCCCCGTTGTAGCTTTGGCTCAGGTTCAGGTTGAAGGACGAGGAGCTCGCCCAGGAAGAATTGAGCTCGTCGCTGAAGTCGCTGTCGCTCAAAAAGCTTTCCTCGCTATCTGCTCTCGGGCTCATCTCACGCTTCTCCTGTTTTCCGTCCATCTCCAACATGATCGTGGGCGGAGGGACGTACTTTGCAGTCGTAGGTGAGGTGGCAGCTGGAGGCTGAAAGTGAGGTTCTTCAGGCAGGATGTCCAGAGAGGTCAATCTCTGCTGCCTGCGTGGTTGGAGCGGGCTGGGTGTGGAAGGCCTGATGGGTGGAAGTTGCAGGTTGGGTGAGGAAGAAATGATGGGTGGAAGTTGCAGGTTGGGTGAGGAAGGCCTGATGGGTGGAAGTTGCAGGTTGGGTGAGGAAGACCTGATGGGTGGAAGTTGCAGCAGGTTTCCTTGCGAGAGGCTGAGCTGGTTGGACTGCAGTTCCAGGGTCGGGGTCGGGGTCGGGGAGGAGGCGCGGCGGTTCCGATGGTGGGCTGTCATGCGGATATGAGGCAAGTTGTAGGGCTGCAGGTACATGGTGGGGATGTAGCCCGCTTTATTGTTGTACCTGTCAAAAAACAACAAAGACAAGAATGTGGGGTTCAAGTCTGGAGGAGTTTAAAGCTGTGAGAATTTCGTTATAACAAGATGATCTTTAATGCCGCTGGAAGGATGTTTACAAAGTTCAGCCAAAGGGTTAAATACCTGATGAGCCACCAGCCGTTGTCAGACTTCTGCAGGACCTCCACCACTGAACCGATGGACATGGTTATCTCGTCACCTTTGGTGGCCTTGTAGCTCTTGACTGCAGTGTACAGCTCTCCTGAGAGTGAAAGACACGACTTTAATACACGACATCGTAGCATCTCGACCGACATTAACCCGCTACGGTATTTTAAAACTGCGTGCACTGTGTATGCAAACAAACCAAGCGTTGATGGTCTGATGTTTGAGGTACAACTGAAACTGTATCTATGGACATACCTCTCTCAGGGCTCCCATCAATGTAATCTTCATCAGCATCAGCATCATCAAGGCTCTCCAGGTAGGGGGCAGGGAACCAGGCCATCCGCTTGTCTTCATTCTCCACAAGCCACCACCCTGAACCAACACAACCACATATATTTAACATGTGTCCGTGTAATTGGGTTGATGAGGTTCCAACCATTGACGGGACACTGAGCAGTGAAGCTCGCTCACCTGCTTGGTCTTTGATGAGCACGTCTACTTTTTCGTCCACCGTCACTTTGAAAGGTTTGTTCTTGGTGTCTTTGGTCTCGTAAGGGGCCACGCATCTGTAGGTCTCTGTGACGAACGGCTGGGTCACGTTGCCACCTTTGACCTGTCCCGCATCGGCGCTGACTTCATCCTCTGATGGCAAGACCATGATGCTGAGGAGGACAGTCGCAGGTTAGTTTGGAGCTAGATTTCTCTCCGGGTAAACACAGAGCAGCTCATGCACAAGTCCAATCCCAAAGTCTGCATTTAATCACCCAAATTTGTTGAGCAGGAATTCAGACTTATCCCGGTGCTAATACTTCAGCATTTACCATTATTCAGGTCCACATGCTGGCAGAAAAACTCACATTGTCTATTTTTGCCATCCTTTTACATGCTTCTACATTTTTATGCTACATTTTTTTTTACCAGTGTTAGGGAAAACAAGGCTGAAGAAGTTGATTTAAGAATAATTGTTTCCTTATTTCCATGCATGTTTTATAGAATGCGCTTTAATGGATAATTTAGGTATTTTAAAATGTCACTGCTCACTTTATGCATCTCGAAGTCTTTAGGGTTTGCTCTGGGTTCTATGGCCACAAAAAGACTAAAGGTGGTGTTCTAATTTACTATAAATATGTTCAGCCTACCAGTTCTTGGCGAACTCGGGCTGCAGGTCCTGGTCTTTGGGGTGGAAGAACTGGATGAGGTCTGCAGACTGAGAGACCTGCTCGTCGCAGCTCAGCAGCTTATTGCAGTATTTCTGCAAGAACTTGAGGCGCAGGAGTGACTTGGTTGGACCTTTCTTCTTGGCGCCGCCGTTCAGCATTTTGTCTAAAAGCACACAGGGATCTTGAAGTCAGAATCCAAACAGCCTGTAAACGCACTTTGTAACTCGCATAAACTGCAGCTGTAATTTACGAACACATACCTTGAAATTTGGGAATGATTCTGGCGGATTTTTTCATTTTGTTGGCCGGTGGGAATGCTTTCTTCAGTTGTTTCTGTCGGAAAGAAATAGGTAACAGAACCGTTATTAATAGGGAACAGAACCGTTATTAATAGGTAACATAACCGTTATTAATTAACCGACAACCACATGCACACGCGCGACACGCAGAGAGGAGATGTAGCCTTTTCTACTCACGTGCATTGTCTTGAAATCCTGAAAAGTCCTGTAAACTACAATCTCATTCTCGTCCGACCAAAGCACGGAGGTCATGTACATCTGGAAAAGGGAAAATGCAAAATGAATCACTGAGAAGTGCAGATTTTATTTAAAATTGAAATGTGGCATCTTTAAAAAAATCAGAAAAAGAGGAAACATCTCCATATGCGCTTACTTTGCACTTCTCCTTGTGCATCACTCCGATCAAACCGACACTGATGGGATACCTGTGGCCCTCCATGATGCACCGACAGAGACAACGTGTGTTGAATTCAGGTGTCTGAGCTGCAACACAAGTCTCTCAGCCTCGCTCTGGTTTTGGGGACTGAAGCGGAGATGCTCTGCAGGTGTGTTTATATTTCCCCCACAGGTGTTGCGTCAGACACGCAGACAATACATCCTCGTCACTGGGAGGACGGTCCAAAAGCAACAGCAACTAAAAAAAGACTTGCAGGAAAGTCCAGCTTCTCTCCGTGACAGGCAAAGTGAAACTTGTTCTCCTGGTTAGGGAATTCGGAGGTGTGAGGCGTGACAATAATGTGGAGCAAGGCAAGGCAAGGCAAGGCACGTTTATTTGTATAGCAATTACAGGCAGCAGCAAACAGAAAAGTCTTCAATCTTGATTTAAAGGAGCTGAGGGTCTCAGCAGACCTGCAGCTTTCTGGGACTTTGTTCCAGATGTGTGGAGCAGAAACACTGAACGCTGCTTCTCCGTGTTTAGTTCTGACTCTGGGAACAGAAAGTAGACCAGTCCCAGACGACCTAAAGGGTCGGGATGGTTCATAAGGTAGCAGCAGATCAGAGATGTATTTTGGCGCTAAACCATGGCACAAGCACGAGAGATTATTATGATGATGAGTTTTCCATTTATTATTTTTTATTATTCATCCGCCCATTTTATTCAGGCCGATCACATCAGGAAATGTCAGTTTTGACTTTATTGGTTCATTCTGTGTAGAATATATCTCCTGGCTAGACAGATATGACGCTGAAAATAATATA